TCATTTTCAATCTATTTATATATTGTATAATGTTTTGTAATTGTATAATTGTTTAAGAGCTCGAAGTTTAATATATAAACATTCACGTATATATGTATGTAAGTATGTATTTAATTATAGGAGCCAACAGAATATCAGCGCTGCAGACTTATCTGTAGCTTCATGCTGAGTTGGTTGCCTCTTCATCATTGCGACATATAAAGCCACCTCCATTTTTATTTTATTTTGTAATATTATACTTCTGTATTATTTCATTTGTAAACTTTATTTCTATTTATAAAATGTATCTCATGTATGCTATGTGTTTGTAATTGTTGAATAAAGTTAAACTTATCTATCTATCACTGAATCACTGCCAGAATAAACCAGGATTAGTATCAAAAACCCCAGTAACGGGCTACTCGAATCAATATCCAAGAGACTATTGCTATTGAGTAAAAACCAGGGATGTTATGGATATGAAATTTCGGATACGGACAGGTTTCGGACATAGGAATGATTGTTATATCGGATACAGATGCGGATATGAAATTGTTTCGTATTATCCGTTAGTTTCGGATATTATTTTTTTAATAAATTTTAAAAGTAAAATACAAATAGCTAATAAAATGGTTACATAACGTGTCTCAATTAGACTCCGCCCGTATCCAATATTATAGATAGATAAACCATCGCTCCTATGAATATCCTTCAATTCTTGTCCATGACTGGCCTAGGAAGCGAGCTTTGAATAAAAGTGCGAGCGTAATATATCTAAGTAGGTCGCAGCGCTACAGATAACACCATACAATAGCCCAAAACCTTTGATAACAAATAATCTCCTCTGCCCGTACCGGCGCAGGATGGAAGCTGAGTTCGGCCCGTCGCTAGTTCGACCCAGAGCCTCTCCTTCTCGGCGGCAGACGTGGGGACCGTCACCTAAGGAGGGTGAGGCCAGGTATAGACGGATGCCACTCACGAAGGATGCTGTAAAGCCTGCATTGCTAGGTGGACGGTGGACTGCGACGTTGATCCTGTGAACCTGGCGCTAGTAGGAGTCCGGCAGTATTCGTGCGTGTCCCCCGGGGTAAGCAGATGCGGATAAAAAATAGGTCAGCTTTTGGTAACATGGTCTATCGCAGTTCGCCGCCGGGTGCTCCCCACCACAGCGAATGCATTTAACATGCCGGTGACAATTGGCCGAAGCATGGCCGAATGCCTGACGTCTGTGACACTGAGGCAACGCCGATACCGGCTTTTTTTATATACTACAATGGTGGCAAACAAGTAGACGGATACGGCCTGTCTGATGTCCGTAGCCTAAGGAAGTCTGAAACACCAGGGGTGTCACGTGCGCGTTGCTGACCCTTAAAAAAACCTTAATATACTCTTCTTGAAAAACCCCAGGCTGTTGTTTCCTGAGAAACCCTCGAAAGGAAATCCATTCCACAATCTAAATATATGCAGGAGGACGCTCCTCTGAGACTGCACTGTCCGAGACCACTTAGGTTAGGTGACCGTAGGCATCATGTTAAACAATTCCTCAGAAAACAGTCCATTGTATAATTGGTAGAACACACAAAGCGAAGCGAAGTCCCGCCTCAAGCTAAGTGGCTCGATAACGCCAGAGAGATTGGGATCATCGACAATTCTCAAAAGGACCGAGCTGGTATCCACGTGCTCCTGCCCAAAGATGAGAGCAATACTCCATGTGTAGCCGAACCTGAGACTTATATAAGAGGAGTCTCTGGTCCGCAGAGAAGTACCGCTTCGCTCTATTGAGCACATCGAGCTTTTTGGACGCCAGCTTCACCTTTTCTTCGAGGTAACTACGGAACTCAACTGTGCTAGAGATGGCGATACCGAGAATCCCAATACTCTTAGAGATGGCAGTAGACGTGTTCTGGAATTACGAAGCCACAGCACAGCAAAAGGGGTTTTCTTAGCGGTGAACATACAGGCTTGTGTCTTGGTAGGGTTGAATTGAACTTAGTTCAGTCGTCCCCAATCGGAGACTCTGGTAAGAGTACTCTGGATTTCAGACACAAGCCGTTCGCGGTTGGCTACCACATCGGAAAGAAGGATATTAGCACGGCCCGTGTATAATGCGTCCCCAGTACTGTCATCTGCATAACAATGAATGTCAAAAGTTATTAAGACATCATTAATATAAGCAGAAACAGTGTCGGGGAGAGAACAGGGCCTTGCGGGACGCCAGCGTTAATGTCCACGCTATCGGAGCAACTACCGTCAGTCAAATGCATCAAAACCGTGATGGTTTTGATGCATCTGCCAGGCAAAAAAACTAGCGACCCATTTGCATAAACTCTCTGGTATACCGTACGAGGGCAATTTCGATAGAAGACCTTGATGCCAAACCCGATCGAATGCCTTCGCCATGTCAAGGTTGACTGCCATTGCCAAAACCTTTACTCTCGATGGCAAGCGGTGTGTGAGATACACTAAAAGATCACTAGTTGAGCGATTATGGCAAAAACCATATTGACGATCGCTCAATAAATCGTGTTCCTCTAGGTATCCAAGGGGCTGTGTATTAATTACACGCTCCTTCACCTTGGAGAGTAGAGATGCGATAGCGATAGCCCTATAGTTCGATGGGTTTCACCTGTCTTGCTTTTTTGGCATGGGGTGCACAAGGGTTTCCATGAAGACGGATATTGCCCAGAGGAGTACTAAAGCGCGAAGAGGCGCGCGAGTGTTGGACACAACTCTGGAGCACACCTTCTTTAACTCCAATGCCGGTATGCCGTCTGGCCCATTCAACTTGTGGACGTCAAGAGACGGTAACTGTCGCCGGATTCGTCTTTGTGTTACAGATATTTCCGGCATAGAATTATTACACCATGGGATGGTAGTAGGTATGGTGTCCCCGGCGTCCAAAGTCGAATTTGGGGCAAAAAGAGCGTACAACAAATCGGCCTTCTCTTTTGCGCTAAGTGCCATGTTACCATCCGGCTTCCATAGCGGTGGTAAGGACGACTGACTAAAGTTACCTTCGGCTGCTTTGGCAAGCGACCAAAAGGCACGACTTCTAGAAGGATATCGTGCTAATTGCTCTCCAATTTTGCTGACGACGTCGAATTTGGCTGTAGCAATAACCTCAGTAAGAGAGTAGAGAGAAGCTGGATGCATCATTTAAATTCCGCCTCAGATCAGATATGCCAATATCACTGTTGGAAAGAGCCGTGTTCCAAGCCTGATAAGCAGTTTCTTTAGTCTGTCTGGCTTCTCTGCATGACCTTTTGTACCAAGGTCGCTTTTTCGCCCCTGATCTGCAACAAGCAGATTTGGAATAAAACATTCCATACCTGTAAGTATGACTTCAGTAAACGCGGCTGTACAGGTTTCGACGTCTTCTGATGCAAAGCAGTGCTGCTTCCATGGGTAAAATTCTCGCAATCTGTCCCAATCTGCTCCACAGTCACAGAATATGCGTCCGGACGTGTAGTCAGCATAAGGTCAAGAAAGAAGCTCGTGTGGGTCTCGATATCTGGTATTCTCGTTGGAGAATGAAACAGTTGAGAGAATCCATAGGCCAGAACAAAGCAGCACTCCACGCGTGGTCAGAGACTGGTCACGTGGTCACTCGGTGAGATGGGCATTGAAGTCTCCAAGTATCACTAACTAGAGTTGGGCGTAGAAGATATAGCTGAGAAGACCGCGATGCGCAGTGGATACCCCAGGTTGGGTCTTTCTCACTGGTATCTGGACGGCACGGAATTCGTCGTTCGTCCTAGGCCCTACTGTCGAAGGGTCTTGCGTTTGGAGTACCCCCAGGATACGCCTGAGCTGCTCAAAGTGGCGTGTCCAGTTGAAAGCATGCCGCCGCTATGGGCAAGTATTTACTCTCTTACGTCTCTCCGTTTGTCGTCGCTTGTGGGCGAGGTCGGCGAAAGCAGTGCTCACATTTTAGAGGGGCCGGGTTGTGCGAGCCTTTCCCTGGTTCCCGATTGGCGCCATCATTGCCGCTTCCCGTGAGGGCACAGGGAGAGCCCTTGGATACCGTACGAGCATGAAAGCCTTAGCTCGGTGACAGTGTGGCCTACTAATACACATATTAATAATATAGTATTAAACATACATACAAATATACATAAAGATACCATACATACACTACATAAATACATACATAAAGATACCATACACATAAAATACTTTTAATAGCAATAATATATTTTATAGTATAGCTTTCTAGCGCATTGCATTGCGGTGGAGTTCCGTCGGCCTAGACAAATTAATGTAAACAATTCAAATTTCAAATATAAACGATACGACCGCAGCAACAAGCAAGTTAGTCGGTTACGCGAAGCTCACGTCTGTGTATTGTGCCTAAACACCAGGCGCATTCCACAACAGGGACCAGTTTTGTCGGGTTCCTGAGGAACCCTATCAGAGGGTTCCCTGGGGGCTTCCTCCCATTGAAACATTACTGCGGAGTGGGAGAGCTAGTGTGGGGGCTTGAACCCCACAACGAACCTACCGAAGGGTAGGAAATACCGTCCTGAAAAAGGGTAGGTGATCGTACTGTATGAGTCGCAAGTGGATTGCAGCGAAGAACTTGCGACACCAGTTGCGCGGCTCACTCTGGAGACTCGACTGCGCGGCGGACCGGAATCTCACAGAGGATCACAGGACCAACGGTAGACTAAGCATGCAACTAATTGGAAAGCTATATTTTTTTTTGTTTTTATTTTTTCTTGTTTTTTATTTAATTTTTTTTGTTTTTTGTTAATTTTACTTCATACTTTTATTTTTGTTACTATTAATTTTTTCATTTTTATTTTTTTATTTTTTAATATTTTATTTTATTTTAGATTGATTTTCTTATTTAAACATTTTTTTTATACTTACAAAATTCTTATGTCTAATATGATCTTTACATTATTTTCTTTAAAGTCATAACAATATCCACTTAAAAATAAGTAAAAATATAGTCAACATACATGTGTTTTCATAGTTTGTGTATCAAATTTATTTGATTTGGTAATAAAAAACATATACTTACTACATATACCTACTTATATCTAATCTTATTTATTAATAACATATAATTATCTATCTATTAATCGATGTCCTTCACAATTATCAAATATGATTTTTACGAAGAGCTAATGAACTAATGGTTTACAGCTGGGTTGAACTACATTTTTAATCAACGGGCCAATTTAAATATTAATATTTTTTCGCGGGCCGCACATGAAGCCTGTTAATAATATACAAAACTTTACTCATATTATAATAATACTTATTAATAATATACAAAATTTTATTTATAGGTAATAAAGATAGAATAAAGAAATAAAAACTTAAAAAAATGAAGACTTCCTACACGAGCTTTAATCTCAAGGTTCGTATTATATATTTGAACAAGACTGATAAGTAAGTAACTCGGCATAAAAACTTGTTTAAGTTTAGTATGTACTACATTTTATTTTACAGTAAACTGGTGTCTAACACATGTCTAATCTGTTAACATATACAAAACTCACAATATTATGAGCATCCCAGCGAAATGAAGCAGATGCACCATTAAACTTTTGTTGTTTAGTCAATATTACGAAATTATTTTTTTTTACATGTGCATCTACTCATTTTCGAAAAAGGGCTTGATTTTAATCACATATTTCTATTGGTCATAGATTCGAAAATCACATTCTCAATGTTCTCTTTATGTTTTCTACCATTGATATGTGAAAATTCATTTTTATTTGACACAGAGACTTTACAGATATCACAAAAGAATCCATTATCCAAGCTTTTTAACTCGTTGAATGATAAAGTGGCCGCATATATATGCTTATGCTTATTTCCACTTATATGTGTAGTAATGTCTTCATCATCAATGGTTATATTACAAACAATACAAAGAACACTATTAGTGATATCACATTCCTTCATTTGATAATTAAGAGGTTCACCAATTGAATCATCTTCTGAACTGGTATCGCTTAAGTTTGTTTCATTATCTGTATCCTCATAATCCAGATTCAATCTATGGCAATGGTAGTCGTCGTTTATATGGTCAATTACTTTTCGGTCATTTACAAATACAAGACAAAGTTCGCAAAATTTACGGTTATTGACTTCTGTAATATTGTTGTTTTCGCATAGTTGGGAGTACTTGTCTCTATGTTGGTTACCATTAACATGTTCTGTTACACAATTATTGCTAGTAATTGTTACATCACAAACGTAACATTCCAATGTGGAACCCTCTTTTTTTAGCATATGAGGGTGGAGTTTGACACATTCCTTTTCATTTACATGGTTTTCGTCATTCATATGATCAAGATCATCTTGATTACTCAGGATGATGTCGCAGATACCGCAATATAATCCTTCATTGATTACCAAATAATTATTTAATAAAAGCTGCTTGTAGTGTTTAGTATGGACATAATCAACTTCATGATTGCATATACTCTGCTGCGTATTGAGTACTTCTACATTACAAACTTTACAGATTACTACATTTGTATCAGTGTCACTGAGTTTGTAATGGTGGAATGTTCTTGGGAGGGTTTGCTGCAGTGAATTCATTATAAGTGCATGCAGGATAAAATGTGGACACGAAGAAACTCTGAAAGGCAAACACCAAGGTCAAATTATTAGGAGCTATAATTTAAGTTATAATTAGGTCCTTACATATGAAATTGGCGTTTTGTCGTACTGACCACTTTGATCTCAAATATCTCCTCTTTGGTTAGGAATTTCAATTTCAAATTTATACAACTATTTACTAACTCATGCATTTGTTTTTCGAACACAGTAAACCATATCTTTTTAAATCCATTCATTTTTGGTTTTATTGCGTCACTCAGTTTACAAAATACAAAACTTAAAATATCGCGTTATTTACGAGTACGAGTTCCGCCGTGGTACCAGCGCTGCAGAAACGGCTCGAAGGATTAATGATGTGTGTGGCGGTGGTGTAATAAAAGAAAACACAGTGCGTTTTTGGTTCCAAAGTTTTCGTTCTAGTTCGGCAGTAACTTTCGTGGTAGACACTATATACATACACTGGATATTTCGACCTATACTGGCGGCCGTAGTTCAAGGTTGATAATAAAGAATTGAAGGCTATTGTGGAAGCGGATCCATTGCAAACCACGTCCGAGATAGCTGCAGGCTAAGGTGTTAGTGACAAAACTGTTTTAATTCACTTGAAGCAAATTGGGAAGGTGAAAAAACTTGAAAGGTGGGTCTTGATGAATTCACTGGAGCAAATCGACAAACTCGCGTAGACTGCTGCGTTACATTAGTCAACCGGCATAATAATAAAGGGATTTTAAATCGAATCATTACCTGTGATGAAAAATGGACCTTGTACGATAATCGGAAATGCTCATCGCAATGGCTGAATCCTGACGAACTAGCCAAATCCTGCCCCAAGCGAAAATTCACTTGAAAAAATTACTTATAAGCGTTTGGTGGACTAGTGCCTGTGTTGTTCACTTCAGCTATCTTAAATTTGGCCAGATGATTACGGCAGTTGTATAATGTTAGCAATTGCAAACCATGCTGGAAAAGTTAGCTGCTTAACAACCGAGGCTGGTCAATCGTCGTAAGCCACTGCTGCTTTAGGACAATGCTAGACCACACATTGCACAACAGACACTTACCAAATTAGAAGAGCTTCAATTGGAATGCCTAGGATATCCTCCGTACTCCCCGGACCTTGCTCCAACAGATCACCATTTTTTTCGAAATTTAGATAACTTCTTGCAAGGGAAAAAATTCAACTACGATGGACCTGTCCAAAGCGCCTTCAAAGATTTTATTGATTCCCGTCCGAATGGTTTTTTTAGTAAAGGAATCAATGAACTACCTATGAGATGGCAAAAGTGCATAAATAGCAATGGTACATCCATCTCATAGGTAGTTCATTGACTTTGATTAAATAAATCTATATCGACCTAAGAAAAGAGTGCTTCTCTCATGGGCAATTATATGTTGCCCTTTCTCGAGTAGGATGTCCCAAAAATCAATATATACTGTTATCATCTAATACACTGCCAGAGTAGTGTACAGTGAGGCTTTAAGATAAAAAAGGTAAGGTTGAATATATCTACCTAAAACTTTGAGGTTTTAGGTGGATATATTCAAAAGGAAAAATATAAAAAAAAAAAATTAAATAAAAAAATATAAAAAAAACTTAGTCCATTTAATTAGGTAGGATCAGATAAAAATGTAAAGTGTAGTAAAGATGTCCACCCGTGCGAAACCCGGACGCGCAGCTAGTATATTATATTTTGAAAAAAAAAAAGACTATAAAAACGCCAATTTCATATGTTAGGACCTAATATCAGTTAAGCCAAACTAGCGTAAGTCCCACATTGTGTTCATGTTTAGAGAAATAAAATATATTTCTTATATATTTTATTCATAAAATGACCCACCTGTGGTAACGGTATACCCTGGCTCAGTTATGACTTGTTTGTATTTTTTTTTGTATTAATAATTTTTCCGTACCGTTCAGTTTAGTATACAGATTCAATTGAGAAGAACTGGCAAGATACTGAACTGATTTTTTTAATAGCCATTTTTTTAACATTGTGCACTTAGGTAGGTGTTTATATTTAATATTAAGTGAAAATCCCATGCATAAAGTATTATTGCAATGAACGTTCGTCATTCAAGGAATCGTTTAGTGTCTAATAAATAGGTTTTGCTCAATAAACATAATTTAACAGATGTTTTGAATGTATTTAAAGGTAATTCCGGTATCTAATTGTAAATTTTTATACCCATTCCCATAAAAGACCCATTGACTTTTTCTAAACTATATTCAGTAACAGCAAGTTCGTCTTTAAATCTAGCATTCATGTTCTGAATATGGCTGTTTCTTGAAAGTAAGTGAAGAATATTTAAGAGGCCTATTACAAAATGATGCCGCTCAACTTTAGGTTTAATCGCATGGATTTACGCACACACACAGTAATACACGCACACAGACGCAAATAACCGTGTAGCTCAATCGGTGTGGATTTAGTATGAACCATTTTGATCCTTGTAATATTTTAATTAATAATGTGATATGTTTCTACTTAACTGAGTAACATAAACTACTTATTGGATTTTTTAAAATAACGTGATTTATCTTAATTGTCAAAGTGCTAATAATGACCATATTTTTTTATTATATTATTCCTAGAGGGTTGATGTCAGGATGCTGGCCGATTGTACAACTAAAAGCCAAAACCTTAAGTAATATGAGTAACAAATAATTGGGATAAGGACAAGAAGATGAAATTACTATAACATAAATTTACTAATTAATTCTTTTTACATATTAATTCAGTTTATTTATTAATAGATACAATATAATTTATTATAAGAGTTGGATACATTATTGCCATATTCACTTGTTCTAAATATTATACTTAGCAAATAATTATTTTATTTATATATAATAGTTGTGTTTTCAAGGCTTTGTTTTGATTTAAAGGTCCAATCCTTATATGTATATTAGGTGTATCCGCGACTTCGTCAGCGTGGTATAATGAAATTGACCAAATATAGGAAATATATTTAGATTATAACCTAAAAAAGTTTCATTGTTTCACTTAAACAATGACGATACTTTTATACAACCTTTCATCTCCGCTTTTAATCCCTTACAATACTTTTTTCGCACTATAAAGTAGTCTATGACCTTTCTCAGGGTATACTATCTGTGTATATATATATCTATCTATATAGACTACATGTGTATATATATGGTAGTGAATTTACAGGGTACAGGGGAATAACACCCGAGTTTTCAGGAATGGCAACGCAAGAGGGAAACAATATGCTGATATGAACATGTCAGGTACTGCTCATGTATATAGGCGACGGTTACCCATTCCATCAGGAGAGCCGTCAGCTTGTTTGCCATTCTAAGTTGTAAAAAAAAAGCTTTAACTGCTATCATTGCTGTCCCTGCATAATTGACGTCGCCGCATGATATTGGCTGATATTGCAGCTTCTCGTTCTTGGTTGGCCAATTCTTGATTCTTGATAAATAATTACTTGTTAATATCAAACCTATTTATAAATTATTACAAGACGCCTCATTGATTATATGTAATGAAATCACCATGAGCTATAGAGATTTTGGATAGAACCTTAAAAGACCTTAGAAACACCTCTGCTCTCATTGGCGGGATTACTTTTATACTTTTGCTGGAGATTTCTGAAAGACTCTCTGTGTCATTACCATCGTCTCCCTTATGTACTTTAATTGAAAGTTTAAAACTACTGACAAATTTGAGAGCTCATTTTTATGGAAGCACAGATAGTGATTTCCCACACTAACTGCTCAAACTTGAGGAAGGAATTTCTCAAAAGCATGATCCAATCATGAAATTTAAGCCCGCCGAACATGTGCAATGGCATCCCATTGGATATGTTGCTTACTAAAGAATTGAAAGACAATTTAATTGTAGACCATTATAACCGGTACGTTAGCTGGGCAACCAGCTTATATACCAAGAATACCGATGATTCCAACTGATCTGCCAATACCATTTTAACGGCTTCAATTTCCGGTTAAAATATCATCTACACATGTAATAGATCTATGTATGTTTTGATCTTAAAATTCTACGCAGATTTTGATTCGTTGTTATTTAATAGATAGAATAGATAGACTCAAGAGGAAGGTTTATATATAACGTCCCAATACTGTACACGGATCTTTAAACGCGCGATAACCTATATATCCCATATTCACGCGGGCGAAGCCGCGAGCTAAAAGCTAGTCACTAAATAAAAACATTTATAATGTTGTTGACTTTTCATCCAAACACGCATAATTATTTGACATAACTGTACAGTAATGAAAGTCCAACGAGTATAATAACAGAATGGCTGCAATTTAGAAATATCTGTATTGTGTAAAATAAAATAAAGTAAATTGGATAAAGTATCTCTAAACATTAAGGAATATAATTTATATATAATTTGGTAATTTATTTACAATCCACATTGCATACTAGATGATATAACACAAGACAAATGTACGTAAAAATAATAATGGTATTTTTATAAACAATAACCCTATTTTAATTTAGAAAAAAACTACAAAATAAACATAAAGTAAAATTGGTTTACATTTTCTTACATTTTTCTCTCAGATAAGCGTTATTTTAAAAAATACTAAAACGTTCTCTATTTTAATTTTAACAATTAATTGCCATTAGTGTGACGAAATACCATGCTCTTGTGCTTTTCATAGTCCAGCAGGGTAGGTAGGTTTTACTTGTAGCATAACTGTACTTTTGTTTTGGCATGCTAAAATAAATTTTATATATATATATTTAACAACAACTTTAAATTAATATTCGTAGAAATAAGTATGTATTAGCAAAATTAATTAAATATTACTTAAATTATCAAAATTGTTTAGTCGCACTATACTAATGTTCACTGACAAATGTTTACGAATGTCTTATCGTAGCGGTGTCGTAAAAAATAGCATAGGTACTACCTCGACGAGCGCTAGCGCAGCACTGAGAATTTACTTTTGGCGCAACGGAATTTATACAACTTTCAATT